GGTGGAGACGATAATGATGTTCCCATGCCCGCGGAAGGCATTAATATTTTGCTAGGGTCGTGATAGACTATGATAATGTTTGGGTTACCACAGGAGATGTCCTAGATTTAGCCGCCATATTGGGGGATGACGACTGAATTGAAAGTTTCCGTGACCACTTTCGTGCCCCCAGATGGCCCGGGGGGGGGGGGGCAAGATTTTTGCTGTGGTTGAAGAAGACGGTGATGATGTTCACAAGACTATGGGGAATGGTCACGATATATTACCGTGATAACATTATCGATATGCGATGGCACGGTCGGATTAAGCAAGGAGATTGGAGTACGCTAGGTTGGATCTACCCTTAAACAAAAACTAAGATATGAAATATAATTTTAGGCTAGCAAAATTTATGTTTCATTGGACAGTGTTCTTTTTTCAAGCAAAATTATGTTTGTTTTAACTAAACAAATTTGCTTCTAGTAGTTTCCAAAGTGTGATTCTGAGTAATATGCTATTTATACCACTCACAGATAAAAACACCTTTTAGATATTAGCATATTAGACAGTTCAGTTGCAACCAATTCCTCAATCCCATATTACCCAAACTGTAAACAGCCTTTAGTATCAATGAACAAACCATGACGTATCATTTAAGTCAGTCAGCCAATAACCTAATGCGGCTATGAGTAGGAAACATTTGAAGAAAAGACTAAAAAACAAGATCAGCTTTTGAAAAATTATAAGATATTTACAAGAAATGTTGATTAAATATATAACTGATATGTACATCGTGAGTATTTCCATAATCGTCGACTCTTTTAAAGTCACCAGAAATTATCACTGTTTTGTTTTAAAATAATGCCTGTAATACTTTGCAATTGCTCGAATTCGAGCAACAGGTGCACTAGTAAAGTAATGAATGGAGAATCACAGGTGAAAATAGCATTTCTAAACATACCTGGATTAAAACCCGACTGACGTAATTAGCATAGAATGTTTGAGGTCTAAGATTGGTTGCCTTTGCTTTGCCTTCTGAATTTGATAATATTACTTATAAAAGGGTTTCTTGTTAAAATAAAGTGAAATTAACTTTAGAACATAAGTCAATCTCGCAAAAGGTATAAAATTAATTTTAATTCAATTTTCTTTGTTTTTCGCAACTATGCATTTTTTAGATACTGTATTTGATCATAATTGTGATATTTTTTCAGGCCAAAGAAAACGAGTTGGAATTGAAAAACCAATGGGCAAACAACAGAATGTCTAGAAAACAGACTCAAGCAAAGTATGGATTTTAAGAGTGGATAAATGCCTAGTTTTAGAACTTAACCATAATTTATACTGTACAATATATTCATTATTGACTTATCACATATTTTCGAACAATGTAATGTAAATGTATACAGTGTGTAAATTAAGTATGGAAACAAATCTGTATTTTTAAAACCGGAATAGATAGAAATATTCTATTTGTGGCAATAATAGTTAACAAAGATTCCGCAATTTTTCACATGAAAAATATTTTTTTACCCCCCTAACAGGGTAGGTGGTAGGGGGTGACTTATTTTTTTCAAATAGCAACCCCTATTGAGTGACCCCTCATTTTGAAGAGTTTGTCAAAAGAAACACAATGACGCAAATCCGAGGTGAATATCTCACTCCTAGCCCAAATGGCGGATATTCCAAAATTTGATTTATTGTACGTGAAAAGCACCAATTTCAAAAATAATGGAAAGAAATCTGTATTTTTAAAACCGAAATAGATAGAAATATTCTGTTTGTGCAATTGATTGTTGACATAGGTTCCGCAATTTTTTTAATCAACAATATTTTTTCAACCCCTTTAACAGGGTAGGGGGTGGGAGTGACTTATTTTTTTCAACAACAACCCCTATTGAGTGACCCCTCATTTTGAAGGGTTTGTTAAAAGAAAAAGAATGACGCAAACCCGAGGTAGATATTTCACCCCTAGCCTAAATGGTGGGTAATGAAAAATTTAATTTTTGTAAAAAAAGCCCATTTTGGAATATCCGCCATGTTAGCTAGGAGTGAGATATTCACCTCGGATTTGCGTCATTGTGTTTCTTTTGACAAACCCTTCAAAATGAGGGGTCACTCCATAGGGGTTGCTATTTGAAAAAAATAAGTCACCCCCTACCACCTACCCTGTTAGGGGGGTAAAAAAATATTTTTCATGTGAAAAATTGCGGAATCTTAGTTAACTATTATTGCCACAAATAGGATATTTCTATCTATTTCGGTTTTAAAAATACAGATTTGTTTCCATACTTAATTTACACACTGTATAAGCGTGGACAAGAAATCTTGTAAAACTTGTAATAAATCTTTTTTTTTATTATTGTGTTGTGTACCCAAATGAAAAACTACAGGTTGAAATTTTTACTTGATTTTTAACACTTCCAGGATGTTTATTTGCATTATATATTCCGAAAAGAAATTCCAAAACAGAATACAAGGTTAAAAAGACTTAACAAAAAACGTAAAACAAAACTACCGAATTAGCTGTACAATTTACAATTACAATTCACTTTAAAAACGCTGTAAAAAAGTCAGCATCACTGGATCTTTCAAAGCGAATCCTATAAATAAACAAACAATGAGAGATGATGCCCTTAAGGAAATTGCCTGTTTAGTGTTTAGTTGCCATTTGCCCCTCCGGTAGATCATGAACTTTAAAATTAAACATCAGTCATAACAATTGGTTAAATCGGACGGGTTAAAAAGGGATGTTACAGAGAAACCCCTTGTTAATGTAATAAATTTATAGATAAGTGCGTTGAACAATAACTTGGGTTAAAAATCATCCAATTCATATCAAATTTGGTACAACTTCGTGAACCAGCATGATCTGACTAAAAGAAAGAGGTTTTATGGAGTAAAAATTATTTTCCCCCATTTTTGACCCTAAAATATAAAATTGTGTAGTTTTCTTCCAAACCATTTAGTAGATCTTAAAAAATAAATTCTGTAAGTATAATAAATCAATTTTTTATGTCTTAAGGTTACGGAGAAACCCCAACAAACTATAAGTTTGACATTTTAATCTCATGGAGGATTAGTAAACTGTTGTATTTAACTTGTTCGGATATATTGTAATCAAATTTAGTTTATTTATTTATATCATGTTCAGCTATTAATATTTTAATCAAAACACATTTGATGACATTCCTTGTAACAGCAAATCTAAGTATCTATACTATAATATGAGTTTGTGCACAATGATTTCAAAAACGGCTCATACGATTTCCTTCAGTTTGATAGAATATCCTTTCTAGGCTCTATCCTAGGAAAATTAGTTTTTCGTTACAAATTCAAAATGAAATTTCAATATTTAAACATTAGTCTTATGGATTTTCATTCAAGTAGCTACGGCAGTTTTAAGAAAATGTAAATAAATAAATTGTAATATTATGCTAGTAACAAATTGTCTACAGTACAGAAGCAAATTACTATATACAGTACAAAAGAAAAGAACATTCTAACGAATACTATTTTGCATTGATTAGGCTATAAATACACTTGGGGTGTATTACTCAACGATATAAACAACTCATGGATCGCTGGCTCAGTGTTGGCCGCGCGGTCGAGCTTCCCCCACCATCGACTGGCAGAAGCCGACGTAGCCCATACATTCACCATTATAAAACACACTTTTTATTTGCTGCTCTGTTGAAATTTATAGGGATAAAATATTGCTAACGCTTGTCAAACTCTTTTTACTAGTTAAACCTGTTATGTCTGTTTTGTTTCTTGCAGAAAATAGCCCATCTGAATTCTTTAAAACTACAAATTCACTAAACCCGTTTTGTACATGTTTTTAGACAACTGATATTGCTAGTTCCAAATTGTACATGGTGAAATAATAAGTGGTTACAAAAGAGAAATAGAAAGTACAATATTTGTAATTGAAATTCTATTTTATTAATCGAAAAAATAGTACATAAACATTTAGAATAATTTTGCCAAGTTTTTGCCGCAGTGGTAACGTTATGTTTGACGTAAACGCGATATTTTTTTTCTTTCAATGTTTGATGACAATGTATCTTACAAAATAGGTCATAAAAAAGTATGCTTATCACGTTAATGTCAAGCATAGATTTGCGGTAAAAAGTGGACAAATGTAGTAGGGTTTTTAAGAGTTCAAATGTGTCATTTTCTGCAAGAAAAGAAGAAGACATAAAGTTTAGAATAGTAAAAAGTGTTTGGCATGCATTAGCAATATTTTATATCTATATATTTATTTAAACAGAGCAGCAACTTAAAAAGGTGCGTTTTACAATGGTGAGTGTATGGGCTGCGTCGGCTACTGCCAGTAGATGGTGGGGGGAGCTAGACCGAAAACAGCGCCCGCAGTGCTACTGAGAGCGCAATCCAGTAGTTTTTACATCGTTGGTATTACTAAGCAAGGGTCATGAATACGACTATTAAAAAACATAGAGTCTTTTACCACAAAACAATGTACACTACCCTAATCTATCTAATCTATATATTAATAGGCAAGCATGTTTCTTTAACCTTTTTTCTCAGCTTTTGTGCATCGCACGGACAGTTTACGCATGTTAGAAAGATATTTTCCTTTACATGTGCAGAATCCCTTTAAAAATTAAAATAGGCTCAAAAATAAGCACAAAAAATTAATTTGAAACTTAAAAAAAATTAACATGGGCTTTATGGGTTGCCATGCTGGTGACGAAATAACAACGAAATACAAACAGAAAATCAAAACAAATGTAAGCAATTCCAATCACATGTTTTATTTACAACGCTGGTAAATAATTTGCCGTGGTGACGGAGGATTGTCTAACACAGATGTTTTTGATACTAAGTATAACAGAGAAATTGACTACTATAGTTCGGCCGCTTAGAAAGCGACCTCCTCTAGCATTGGTTAGCATTAGCGCGCAGGTCGCTTTCTAAGCGGCCGAACTATAGCCAACTGTACCCAGTTTAGATTTACTGTTCAGATTTGAATTAGCAGAGGAAAAAAAACTAGTAGATTAAATTGACAAGACAATTTTTATTAAAAAAATAGCCATACACTGTCTTTCAGAACATACAGGAAATAATAATTTGATTGAATAATGCAAAATTTAATTCAATTCTTTTCTTTTCAAAAATAAGTTTGATGCCATTTTAACCCTCCCGTTTGCCCATCCACCTTGGCCTGGGCGTGGATCTAAAAATAATTATTTCCTTTTCCTAATCAGTAATCAGAGAAAAATTAGCTTTTTCATACTTATGTCTACACCAGAGGAAGCACACTAATTTATATTTATTCATCAACTTTCTCTGAACAAAATCCATTTAAACAATAAATCTTTAACTAGCCTCTTTGATTAGTCTTAAAATACAAATTCATACAGGAAAACCCATGAGACCCACTTATAAACGAATGTGGATTAAATCCCCCGTCGAACAGGTTTAGGTGACACGTAGACCTTAACAGGTTTACACAGGTCAATGCAGCAAGGTTCCTGGTTGTGAGATACGCCTGGTTCTAGCTCAGTGAGATCCATGGCGAGTGAGATGTCTACGTACAACGCCTCCGTCCACACCTGGTGGCAGATGAGGACAGTAGTCATCAGTCGGTAGTCTTGGGCCAGCGCTGAGCTGTTCTCTGAAACAAAAGCCACACAGTTGAGCCATGTCAGGCTATAAACTCAGTCCTACACTGGGACCATTTGGGGCCCTCTACCGAGGATTTTTATTTTGAAAAAGGTGCTTTGGAACAAGTTTTTGCACTATTCTGGTAACAATAAATAAGAATAAATTCAGCAAGATTTTTGCACCAAGACTAAAGCTGAAAACCATTGTTGGGAAATAACTTTTAAAGCAAGGCTGATTAGTAGAAAAATGAGCTGGTTGATGAGGATGAATCACAAAGGGTGTATCTATTCGGTTATGTATTTTGTGTGATCTACAATGCTTTGACTGTGTACTGCCTGGGGAAAAATAATTTCCCAAAACTGCAATTTCTTTTTGTTCATATTTAAACAAACATAGGAAAAGAGTAGTAAAAATTTACTGTTCACATAATTTAGGCGGTAATAGGGGAAGGAATCTATCCTTTGAGTCAAATAGCAGCCAAAGTCAATCAGCTGAAACATATACACAGAGTCGGGGTTTGCATGTGATGTGCAATGGGTCTGAGAGTAAATTGCACCCCTCTCTACATTGTGTTGTGGGCGAATGCTTCTCTTCCCTGTGCCGGTGGGCCCACCCGGCTCATTTATAAAATCGGCCCTGCTTATACATCAAGCAAAAAACGTGGTAGGGGAACTTCTCCTCAAACTGCCTAAATTTTGTGATAGATTGTAGATTCAATAAAATTTCAATTAGATCGACACCGAATTTCAGTTTGTGTTCCCCAGGGTTCAATCCTTAGTAGCCCAATAGTATTCTTATTTACTTGCTTAGTATCAGTTAGGAAAAGTTAGGAAGTAATATTTGCATGCACTGCACATGAAACTGTTTCATCCAACTGACTTGACATTATTTGACATTGTATAGAAAATTAGGCTTACTGTAAAAAATATTAAAGACAGACAAGACTTTGACAAAAAAGATGTGTGTATTTGTTGGACATTATTTTACAATCATAATAATAATTAAACATGTGTTAGTTCAATTAAAATAAAGAAGGCAGGCATAAATTAAACATATTAAAGATCACAAATCAATGAGTCAATATGAAACATATTACATGTTTTCCCCTCCAACGGTAAGGACTGCAACTTTAGTCAGAGGCCGGCGATAAGTTCCTTTTGATGTTGTTATGTCTACTATTCGTACTTGGCCATCATGACCTGGGTAGACAGCCGAGATTCGGCCAAGGGGCCAAGTATTTCTTGGGCAGTTTTCCTCAATTATTATTGCAAGATCGTCAATCTTTGGTGGGTCCAATTTCTTGTGCCATTTGCACCGTCTTGAAAGGCATGGAAGGTACTCGTGCACCCATCTCTTCCAGAAGCCGTCTAGGAGTGATTTAACACGAGCTAATTGTCGTTTACACAGTTGGTCTTCGTTTAGGTTGATTTTGTAAGCTTCTCTTAGAAAATGGTTTGGTGTGATTGGTTCGGGGTCATTGGGATCCAGAGAAACATGAGTGAGTGGGCGAGAATTTATTATAAATTCAACGCGAACCATGAAGGTCTGAAGCTCTTCGTCTTTTGGGTACTGGCAGCGCATAACACTCCTTAATGCGGTCTTTACAGACCTAACAAGTCTTTCCCAGCAGCCTCCCATATGTGGTGCTCGCGGGCAAATGAAATTCCACTTTATCCCGTAGTTCACCACGTCTTTTTGGATCTTTTCATGTTTGAGTGACTTTACAGCGTTTCTAAGTTCCCTATCTGCAGCTACAAAGTTTGTGCCATTGTCGGAATATAGTTCTGAGGGAACTGGTCTTCGGCTGATGAATCGTTGAATCGCCATTATACAACTCTCTGTGTTAAGAGAATGAGCCGTTTCGATGTGAATTGCTCGAGTGGATAAACAGGTAAATAGGACACCATATCTTTTTTCATGTCTGCGGCCAACAGTAACTTCGATAGGTCCGAAATAATCCACTCCAGTGTAGAAGAATGGATGTTGCACTTTTGAGGTCCTTAACTGTGGTAGTGCAGCCATCTGAGGAGGATAAGGTTTGGCATTGTCTATGCTACACCTCATGCAGCTCCTTTGAACTTTCTTGGCGACTGATCGTACGTTTAAGATCCAGAACTGTTGTCTAGTCATATTGATAACAGTCTCGATGCCCTGATGGAAACATTTCTCGTGAAACATTTTCACGATTAGTTTAGCCGTATGACTTTTGCCGTCTAAAATGATAGGATGCTTTTGTTCTTCGCTTATTTCTGGTGAACTATGTATTCTACTCGACATTCTTATTAGAGACTGATCAATGAAGGGATTTAAAGAGAATATTCTACTGGACTTTGGTAGCGGTTTGTTCTTCAGCAGTAAATTCTTTTCTTCATTGAAGCTTGCCTTTTGAGACATTGATATCAAGTTCTGTTCAGCTTTTTGAATTTCCTCTGGTTGAAGTTCTGGTATATTTCCAAAATCTACGTTGACCGTTTTCAGTTTCTTTTTGGTGGTGGTGGTAGTATGGGACCTTAGCATGCTAACAAATCTGTGTACCCATGCTAATACACGTGTCACTTTTTCCCAAGAAGAAAAGTTTTCAACTGTCAGAAGAGGAGGGGTTTCATCACTGTTCACAACTCCGACGAATTTCTTCTTTCTTTCTTCATTTTCCTTGACTTGTAGTGTGGACGGTTGTATTGGCCAGTCACTAGATTCTCGCATTAGAAATGAGGGTCCGTGAATCCATTCAGAATGCATGGCTGATGTAAACTTTTTGTTACTTCTAGTTGCAACATCTGCCGGATTCTGTTTTGATGGAACCCATCTCCATTCTTCAGGTTTAGACAAATCTTGAATTTCTCCAATTCTATTGGAAACATACTGTTTGAATTGTCTAGGGTCGGATTTCAGCCAGTGCAAAACTGTTACAGAATCTGACCAAAATATCTGACGAGAAATAGTTAAGTCAATGTCTTTTATGATGCTACAAGCTATTCTGCATCCAAGAACAGCAGCTTGGAGTTCTAGTCGGGGAATGGTTGTTTGTTTGAGTGGTGCTACTTTGGCACGTGCCATAACAAGCATGGTCTTGTAAGTACCTCTGGCACATCCATGGCGTAGATATGAAACTGCTGCATACGCCTCTTCACTAGCATCAACAAACGTATGGAGTTCAACTTCTTCAATTGTTTTGACGTTAAAATAGCATCGAGGTATGGTGAAGCTCTGCAGACATTTTACTTCTTGTAACCAGTCTTGCCATTTTTTACTAAGTTCTATCGAAAGAACTTCGTCCCACGTTATGTTTGTTCGCCAAATGTCCTGAACAAGCATTCTCCCTTTTATAGTAGTAGGTACAACTAATCCCAATGGATCAAAAATGGACATAGCTCCTCTTAAAACTTCTCGTTTGGTCGGATACCTTGTTTCAACTAACTGTACCTTTTCGGCGTTCCGGTGAAATGAAAAGTGGTCAGTTTCAGCATCCCACCACATTCCGAGGATACGTTCTGTAGGTAGACGACTTTCAGGTTGCAGTAGTTTTGTAGAGTTTGTCTTCAAATCTTCCGGTATTTCAAGTAAAATTTCTTTTGAATTTGACAACCAGTTACAGATTTTAAAACCTCCGGACTTGTGAATTTCTGTTATCTGTTGTATTCTAATTCTAGCTTCTTCTTCTGTATCAGTAGAGTCTAGTAGATCGTCCATGTATTCACTGCAGAGGATCGCTTTACTTGCTTCTGGGTAAATTTGTAGAAACCTCTTGGCGTTGCTGTTTACTACATACAAGGCAGTACTCGGGGAACACGTTGATCCAAATATCATTGCTTCCATGATATAGGTATCTGGTTTGTTGTTCGGATCTTCTCTCCATAGAAACCTTTGCGAATCGACATCTTCTTTTCTGATACGTACTTGATGAAACATTTCTTGTATGTCACCTGCGATCGCAAATTTTCTTAATCTGAATTTGAGAAGTACTGCTGGCAGAGGGTTCAAAAGGTCAGGACCACTAAGCAAACCATCATTGAATGACACACCATTCGCTTTAGCAGCTGCGTCAAATACTAACCTCAGTTTGTCAGGTTTGTTTGGATTTATTACCCCAAAATGAGGCAGATAATAAGTCCGGTCATTTATAACATTAGCTTCGTCATCACGTAGTTTTCTGATGTAACCTTTTTCTTCATAATCAGTGATCTTGGCTTTGTATTTGTTATGAAAGTTTTCGTCTCTTGCCATCTTCCTTTCAATACCCTTAAGCCTTTTCAGCGCATTTTCATAGCTCGGTGGATATTTAAAGTCTTCTGACTTCCATAGTAGGCCGGATTCATACCTATCCCCTACTTTTTTGGTCGTATCTTCTAAAATCTTGAGGGCTTTTTCGTCTTCAACTGATTTCACATTGTCATCTTCTACTAGGGACACGCCATAATTCTCGATTTCAAAAGAATCTTTGATAATATCATGAAGTTTTTCACTTTCAAAAGACGTTAAAGTGAATTGACTATCTACTCGCCCAATGTGTTCATGACATTTACCGTGCAATGTCCAGCCTAAACGGCTCCAAGACAAGACTGGAGAGTTGGGAGGACCTTCAATTATTTTCCTTGCTAGAATAAGGTCACAGTTGTCTTGACCTATAAGTATTGTAGGTTTCAAATTTGCTGACGGTAAAGGTTGAACAATTGACCGTAAGTGAGACCACTTCTTTTTCAGTTTGACAGTATCCACCATTTGTTTTGGTAAGTCCAATGGTGACTGGGTTCGTACATTGTTTAATGTAAATACTTCGTCCTCATATAACCCTTTAATTTTAACTTTCACAGTCATGGATGTTGGGTCGAAATGTTGGGTTGCATTGGACCAGCATGTCGTGAGGGGTTCAATACTACCGTTGACGCCTAATTTATCGGCTGTAGCTGAATCCAACAAAGATACTGTTGACCCGTCATCTAAGAGTGCGTAAGTGTCGATCTGACAACTTGGGCCATATAATGTCACTGGACATACTCTTAGTAGAACACGGTTATTAACAACATGACTGCTAATAATTTCTTTATTTTGCGGTTCGCTGTCCTGTTTGGGAAACCTCTCAATTTTGTCAGTATGGAGGAGACGATGGTGAAACAACCTGCACCCATTTATCCCACAAACCTTTTTTACTTTACATTTTTGGAGCTGGTGACGTCGAAAGCAGAAGAAACATAGTTTCTTTTCAACAATCATTTTCCATCTCTGCGATACATCTGCCTTCCTGAAAACTCCACATCGTTCACTTTCGTGGCTGTCGAGACAAAACATACAGTTAAACTGTTTGCCTTCGGTAGAACTGGTATAAACCGGCTTTATGTCAGTTTTCTTCTGCCAGAGTTTCTCTTCTATAGGACGAAAGTAAATACTCAGGATTGAGCATTGTTTTTCCAACCAAGTGGAAAACTCCTTCAAGTCGGGACTGCTTAGTAAAGCATTATTACTTACATGTTCAGCCCACCTGTATTTTAAACTATAGGGAAGTTTGTTGAGACATTCATTTAGTAAGTAAGGATTTAATACATAATTTTCTAGATGTAATGACTCTGCTGTAGCAGTAAAATTCAAAATATTTGTCGAAAACTCAACAAGACTTGTAGTGTCGTCTTCCTTGACAGAAGGTAGCCTACGAGTCTTTTTTAACATTGACTCCAAAATGAGTTCTGGTCTACCAAAACGCATCTGTAAGGTCTTGATAATTGACTTAAGATTTTGACTTGAGACAAAAAGAGGCTTAACCATTCTAAATGCTTCTCCCTCTAGGCAATTCCTTACTCTTATCAGGTTGTCATCCTCACTAAAAAGATAGGCAGTTTTTTCATACGCCGAAAAAAATATCGGCCATTCATCAGGCTTGCCACTGAAGCTTGGAAGTTTTTGACGAAATGAAACAGGCTGTATAGCTTTTTGGAAGGTATCCGCAAGCTTTTGCACGGCTGAGGTCATGATGGCTGATGAGGACTTAAGAACTGTCGGTTCTTTTCTTTTTCATTCAACCACCTTTCAACCTTGCTTTGCGGTTCTTCCTCATCATCAAGATTTATGCTAAGTCCTACCTTGGTTTCAGATCGATTACTAGGGCGGCTTGACTGTTGACTGCCACACACTGAAGCAGACTCAAGCTCAGCTCTCGCTGTCAGCAGTTGCTTCTGTCGTTCTAGTTCTCTAGCTTCCATTCGTCGTTGTCGCTCCATTTCTTCAACTTGTCGTTGTCGTTGTCGCTCCATTTCTTCAACTTGTCGTTGTCGCTCCATTTCTCTTTCCTCATGGGCTCTTTCCAATTTCTGTATTTCTTCCAGCTTCTTCAACTCCACTTCCATTAATCGTCGTCTACTAGAAGAAGTACTAGATTTGGCAGATACTGATGGTTGATCATTACTTGGCTTTGGATTAACAGTTTTGTCGTTGTTATTCCCAATTGCTGGAGTATATCTGTCTGGAGGGTGTCTTTCCCTCTCTGATCTCCTTATTGACATGATAAAGTCGGGTTTCGGCACCAAATGTAAAAAATATTAAAGACAGACAAGACTTTGACAAAAAAGATGTGTGTATTTGTTGGACATTATTTTACAATCATAATAATAATTAAACATGTGTTAGTTCAATTAAAATAAAGAAGGCAGGCATAAATTAAACATATTAAAGATCACAAATCAATGAGTCAATATGAAACATATTACACTTACGACAATTATTTTAGAATGTACAGATAGTAAGGAATGAGTGAAAATTTAAAAACGTACGTTTTCATGTCCCTGGCCTTTTACTTCGTAGATACTGGATTTGTAGTTTATTATTATGTGTTTTAATATTTTTTGGGACGGGGGCAACATGTTACACACATTTATTTAGTTTTAAATAGGTTCTAGGTATTTTTTTCGTATTTTTAAAGTCTCGAAATTCACGACCATGACGTGTCCCTAGGGTACATTTTCCTACTTTCACGCTGTTTTTAGACTAATTATTCATGCCGAAATATATAAAGTCATATTTTTATGTTATCAATGGTTATTAAACTTACAAAAAAGGAGTATATTATAATTTTATTGTCATTGCAGACTGACTACCATGACAAAATAAGTCTGTCCCTCGATTTGGCGTCACGACCATTTGGGAAAATTTTTCAACTTTGGAGCACGACAGTGGCAAGCCTGGCGTCGATGGAGTCAGTTGGTTTTAGAGACTAGTTCGGGGTGTACGTCAGGATTGTAGTGCCGGTCGTTTTGAGTTGAAAGGAGGAATTACAAGATTAATAAAGGAAAGATTGTGTTTTTTGTAATTTTGGTGTGTCCATGACCGTACGTAGTCATTCGATGAAGTAGACATGGTGTTAATTTTTGTTTATAAGATATTTCAATTGCTAGATCAACCTAGAAGTCCACTTTGTATCCTCGAACATGAGGTGCAGGGCTACCGCCAGAACAGAGCCAAATAACACGTAATTTCACGACCAAAGTTTCACGACCATCGCGGTTTTTTTAACGACCAATCCAGCCTTATGGATTATAGTGAGTTTGGTCGTGACAATAACTTTAATATAATTGTAAATTGAACAGTTTAGTTCAATTGAAACACATAGTTTTATTATAACTAACAGTATAATTGAAGGATTGTTTGGAAAGATTTAGATTATTCCAGACAATTCACGACCGTACCGCTTGTCCCTGACCATCACGTTTATGATTTCTATCATAAAAATTTCAAAAATTAAAATATCGTCATATTTCAATGTTTTATACACAAAAGAAGCACACCTCTATACAAACATAACGATTTTTCGGGTCTCAGGTAAGTTTTTTCGGAGTTATACAAACTTAAAAAGATTTTATTGGCTTTTTTCTATTTTTTGAGTTTTTTAAATTTTTTTCTAGAAAGACCAAATTTACCAAAAGCTCAGTGACCTTTTTATTGTATAATGGTCATAAAAGTAAATTAGTTTATAGCAAAACATAGTTATAAAAATAATATTAACTATTTTTAATATTCATTTAAACGTCCGTTATGGTCGTGACAGGATTTTGTGTTTTTCTACTAAAGATGCTCTTTAAAAAGAAAACTACCAAAGATATTGCGTTACCATGGACATTTTATGAAACTTAAAATGTTAATGAAATAAAAATAATAATAAAAGTTTTGAAAAAAGGGGAAAAAAATTTGCAAAGTGCTTTTCCTGAAAACGTACGTTTTTAAATTTTCACTCGAATATAATTTATGGTAGAGGGAAAGGCAGTTCTGAACACTAAATATGGCTATATACGAGAGCTATCTGAATAGTTCTCCAACATTTGGATATACAAGTTTGCAAATGTGCCTAAGTGACTTGGTGCATAAGTGCGAGGGAGTTTGCAGTCAACACATTTGTAAGGTGTAGGTTGGATGCACCAATCTGTTCCTATCGAGCCAGTCATTAAATATGAAACCTTGTTGCGGGTTACTGTGTTTCAGACTACCAGGATTTTGTCTTTGGTAGTCTTAGAATCGTCCCCAGTCAGTTGGGCAACATTACTTGACCGAGGGAACTCAAAAACATTTTGACTAATACCGGACAATTTTGTTCGTTTACAACTCCAACTCACCACTCGTTTCCAGGTTGAGCAACCTCAAATCTGATTTACGAGGTACAATCAGCTGTGTCTGCTGGTCCGGGTATTTGACTTTGAGCCTGAGCGTGTTGGTGTTGTGGAGGCTGTACAATTCTGCGTCCAATGGAATCCCCATGACCAGTCCTGCGGTGAATTTTAGTGCAGAATCTGCGCTGGCTGATGGCATAGACATCACTGCATGGCACATCTTTACCTAACATAACAGGAGTTGTTACTGGATTATATGAGATTTAGTGGAAGAAATTCCCCAACAGAGTGGAAGTTCTTTGGAGTTTACTTACAGCTTAGGGTGGAAATGGTCATAGGATTCATAAAGCTAAAATAAAAACCATTAATAGTTTGAATTGAACCCAGGAATAGTCTTATAGTTTAACTACAAGATCCAACTGTGTCCGCACTGAGGTTAATTATTAAAGTACAAAAAAAGTTTTTGTTCAAACATCTCTGTTGATCAAAGGGAAAACCTTATCTGACTCTGCGCCAGAAGGCTTACATCAGTGTGAGGCCTGGGAGGGTTGGACGGCGCCGATGTTTGCAAGAGAGGCAACAACATCCTCGCCACTGCGCCAGGCTTAGCCTCCTCTAGTGCCGCCGTGCTTTTGAACACCAGCAACGTGAATGCATCTGGCGCTATACCATGCTCACTCAGGAAACGCTGTGTTTGTTCCACCTGAAATGCAATTGTGACGTGAAATTCAAACAAAATTTATATTTAATGAGCATACATGAATAGAGCACAAAAGTAAAAATTGCACTAATTACGTGAAGAAAGGCAATGACATACTCTCTAATTGAGAGGAAGAGAAAGTAAATTTAGAGCAGGGGAAAATCAGCTGATTGCTTTTCTTGTGACGCAAAATTCTAGGGGGGGGAATAAACTAGTATTCACCTAAGTCAGGCTAGGCCTACCCCTAGAACTAGCCACACTCAAATTTCTTCCCCGGAGTGCTCAGAAGGAGCCGAGAAAAAATCCAGGGGTCGATACAAAGTTGTCACGGCATTGACTGATCAATTTATTTTAAAATTTAATCGAAGGCTCAGAGCTCTAGAAGCGCTCAGGAAATCCTGCAGACGCCAGTTGGAGCTATATCATCCCAGCCTTCGTAAAAGCGTTGTGGAGAATTTTGCCTAACTTTTAGAATGACTCTGTAGGGCCGACGAATATCCAATCTTAAGCCAATGTGATTTTAATACTCCTAATAAACTGTAAACTATCTGGCTAAAGACGGTGGTAGATAATAAAATCAAATCTAATGTAAAAAGCAATTCCTACAGAGTCGTCGGGCCTAATTAATATAATCGAATGGAGAATTTATCGTGGGATGATTTAAAATAGATTTAATATTAATATTCGTAGCTGTTTGATTGTTCAAATCAGCTGCTCCGCAGACTTGATTCTTTCACTCGCCAAAGACGGGGTTTAGAACTTAGACGACAAGTCTCGGGGGTATTAAAACTTCGAATTAACTAAAATAATCTAAATAATAATTAATTGTTAAAATGAACGGAATAAACGTAATTTCGTAGCCAATTAATTAAAATAAAATAAACGATCGCCACCGCTAGTCACTGGCAGGCAGGAACTGGCTGGTCAAGACTCGAGTTAAGATATTAAATTTAGATAATTCGAAACGGAATTTTAAGGAAACGAAAAGATGTATTAAGTTAAGTATGCGTAAGATAAAACAGAAATAACGTAAAACTTAAAAAGGGGCCTAACTAGTATGGTAGCTAACCTTCTTAATAATATCGTAGTGTCGTTGTCGTATTCGTAACTCGTGCGAGCTAGTCGGTGGTCAAACAGCGAATAATCATGTCTTTGAGTAAAATTTGTTCCTACCCGCTCGAGGCTTACGCGCTCAAGCGGCGAACTTTAGTACTAGATAACAGCTGATCAAATTCACTTGTTGAGCTGGTCTAGTTTCGTCTGTCGTCAGTCAACAAATAAACATTATTATAATCTAAGGCTTTTTATAATAATGATTTTTAATAATTTTGATTAAAAATCATTAATTAATTTTGATTTATAATAATTTTTTAATAATGATTAATAACGATCCAGAGGCTATTTCTCCAAATGACAACAAATAAACACCAGTTTGGGGTTATGTTGTCGGCGGCGTTGAATATCTGTAAAATCGGCCCGGTTTAACTTTATTTGGTAAAGTGGAGTTCCAATATGGATAAATATGTATGATGAACGTGTGTAGGAACTTCACTGTGATTAAAAATAGGCCTACGTTCTTCGGCCCATAGCCCAAGCTATGGCCAACACATAGGCCTAGGAGTAGGCTATTGTGGTTAAAAATCGGGTAAGTTCTGATGTTCATTTATTCGTAGTACGTTTTTACCCCCTTTAAAATTTGGTACCTTACATTCTCTTGCTCTAAATTAGGGATTAGGAAACAATTAATTTCTTTAAGATCATCTGTTGGCAAAAATAAATAGCTATTTAGTGTACAGAGAGATAACCCTTTTTACCGTTCATTATATATGGAAGATTAATCCCTGAAATAACTTGACTGAAATAATCTTTGTTTGAATTTAACTCGAGTTTAAATGAGACTATTAAACATGTTACTGTAAAAACCTTTGTAATAGTTTAATTTATTTCTACCCTTTAGTTGACTTCGCTCTCAATTATGCAACCAAAGCTATGTCTATGTATGAAGGTTACATACCTGTGTTAGGAAGTGATGACACAAGGCCAGGGCAGAATGGTTGCTGGCCTTTACCACATGGACCAGCTGTAAGGCTAGAGTCTTCACCTTGAACTGCTTGACCACTGCTCTGTCTGCCGGCCTCAGACCAGTGAACAGATGTTGCAGCCTGCCAAAATTCAGCAGTGATAACATGAATGAAAATTACGATCAGATGGTTTTTAAAGGAGGTTGTCAGTTTTGCCAGTTAAAAAAAATACCAAAACCAAGAATTAACAGAAAATGTCAGTTTTAGTTTATCTGTTATTGTGCAATAATTTTGTTGTGATCGCAGCAGACAGTGGAGATTTCTTTGTGATGTTCAAGATTTTGTGACGATCGCAGGAGACAATAGTGATGTCTTTGCAATTGTCAGAGTTGTTGAAAATGTTGATGCAATCACAAAAGACGATTATGGCATCGCAGGGGATGGGCTAAGATTTTGCTGCGACCACAGAAGACAACGATGATGTCCTTGCAGTTGCAGGGGATGTTGAAATGTTGTCACAAAAGCGATAGATAATCTCGATAGTGCCTCAATCACAAATTATAGTAATGATTACCGCACGCTACACTAAATGTATGATAACTAAAGCCAATACCAATACTGCTCTTCTATGCCAGTTGAACATGTGTTAAAACATTGTTATAGTGAGTGTATAGGAAAACTCATTATTTTACATAAATAATCTCTGTAACAACATAAATTTACCATTCCCAACAATTAACTTACTGATAATTTGTGTGGCTGAGGTTAATTATTTTAACTGAGTGTGGTTATTTCCTTATTCAAAACTGAAAATAACCAAAAACCGATAATCTACGTCTCAACCAAGTGATAGATCATTTGCTACAGATATCATCTTATTGTGAATATTAACAGTTTGCGGGATCAATTATGAACACCCGCTTTGATTTTTGTACTTTTCAAACCTCAATAAAGAATCAATTAATCTTTGTCACCAGCCTAAAATGGACTTTTCAATCACTCAATTGTATTGAGGGTTTAAAGTAAAAGCTGTGTCATTTCAACAGTTATTCACTTGTTTTGCTCAACTTACTTGAAACAATGCTGCATCAGCTGTGTTATGGAGTTCCGCACAGAATTAGCCTGCAACGTGTTGGCAGCATTGGAACACCACATCTTATTGGCCAACACCTTGCTCATCAACAGCTGGCTGGTGATGTACAAAGCAGTGAACTGAGCGGCCCCTGACACCTGGGTAGTGATTTAACAATTAACTATTTTATAAGGCCTAGTAAAAAAATTATTATAAGGAGGTAAGTAGAACACAAAGGCTTAGTGAGGGATTTTTCTTGAGGAAACCTGAATGGGAAAGAGTTTACTCTGGCTACATTTCACACACCTCAACATTTCTCACATTTCATTATTACATTTTATCTAGAATGTAAAGGTGGGACAGGAAAAAAATTAAATTAGTAGTTTTCACAACTTACTGTAGGATCAATGGTGGCCAACCTGTTGAGGTCTCTCTCGGCCGCTAGCAGTAACTCCATGTGTACCCTGGAGTTAGGAGCTCCCTCTAGTCTGGACAACAACGTCGTGAGAAACTGAGGAGTAGAGGAGGGGAGAGTCTCTAGCTCCCCTGCAGGCAGCGACCCCAGCTGTGAAATAACACAAAAACGTGTGAATTTTATTTAGTTAAAAAACCACAAAATAACTAAATTGAATATGAAATATAAAGTAGTATTACCTTGAGAGGAGGGACGAGTTGAGGCATGGTGTCTCGCAAGTAGCTGTAGTGCTTCACTGTCGTCTCTTCAAACAGTTGCAACATTGTGGGACAGTGTTTGGCAGCATTGAACACCAAGATCAGGATGCAAATGTCTGTTTAGCGGTCAAGGTTTGTTAACCGAGCATGGATCGTTTATTGTCTGATATCAGTGATGAATGCACAAGCGCACATTGTGTATTAACATGCATTATTACAAGTAATTAGTCAATAAGCAACCACAAAACACGAGGAGTTTAAAATTTAAATCTGCAACTCCCAAAATCAACATGGAACAGCTTTACATCATTAAGTGGTTAAATGGCTTATTAGTTAAATCCCTTGATGATCTATTTAAAATTAGTGTTGAAAGGATACACGCTGGTTCTTCAACGTCAGGTTCTGCAGTGTCGAAGAACGGATGGATACTGAGAAGTTCTGGTACTAGAGGGAGAGTCAGTTCTGGATGTCTTGATCCCATCCGCTGCATACATTTCCACGTTGATTTTTTGTCCTACAGAAAACCACAATTATTAATCCCAAGGATTGCTTGATTGTTTAACAATGCCTAGTATTATTTATTTGAGCCGATTTCGGTAATTGATTCCTCAAAATGATCTATACTTGTGGTGATGAGGACTGTGGTCTTGTTCATTTGAGACTTATAATTCAATATCGATTACCCAACCTTGACGACTACAGTGCAATTATAAGATTTTCTGCATATTTTTTAGATGTCTTTTGCAATCGTAAAACTGTAACATAACCCACCAGGGAAACAGAAACTAAGATTTTCCAAATCAAAGGGTCCAAATATATAGTTATACTATATTTCTACTTACTTATGTATAAATTGTACATTTTAACTGTTTAAAACCAAGTTATGTTCATTATGAAACTTCACAAACCTTCCTAATACCTTTTTACAATATTTGTTTATGTTATGTCTATTGTGCATCTTAATTTAATCTAGAACTAGAATAGCTTCTGAAATTGAGAACCTAAGTCAAGATTTTAGATTTGCAATTAAGTTAAATTCTTTACTAATTTCAATGACATTTTTTTCAAACCATAACATTAAAAAAATCTAAATTTTAAAAACCTATTTTGGAGGACATACACATACAGTAAAGATATTAATGTAGCAACATGCTTGATTGGAGTTGTAATTTACAAAAAAAATCCTTAGACTTTTACCGTTTATTTTAGGTGTGCCTTTTTCACTCTGACATGATCGAGTGAAATTCATGATCAACACGAAAGCCTTGATAGAGGTTATACACTCTCAAACTGTAGTTCTATCTAATGGCCAAGGAAACAAAAACCTATGTGGCCTTAAGGTAGCTTTGGTTAATCAGTGATATTGGTTATTAAACCCATTAAAGCTCTTCTCCCAGGTAGCAACACACCGCTATTTACCGCAGTGTAGCGTATTTAGGCACAGTGTTTAGGCAGTGTGTTTAGGCGCAGTGTAGGTAGGCATTTACCGCAGGGGGCCCACGCTTGCGTGGGTACGTGGCCAGGGCGACCACGCGGACCCTAGCTCTCCCAGAGGGGAGGTAATTGCCCGGTGTTGGAACCGGCACTTCAGGTAGGCCACAAGCTATGGACGACTGGACAAGCCAGCCTCTTTGGGTTGTACCCAAAGTGAGAGTACCCAGTGACATTCCCTCCATTCAGGGTGGTGGGGTGTTCAGCTCTGCTAGTGTTGATTAAGTTCATAGATCTTTCACCTGCCTGTAGCTTGTGGTTGTGACTGAGTTCTTCGGGCTCGTCCTACCTGTTGTGTTCGACTGACATTTTGTGAGGCATATCCTCGACTTTGGAAGTAGCCTCGTCCTGGGAGGTGAAATATCTAGCCCCCAAAGGGGAGGTAAATGCTCGGTGTTGGTATCGGCATTTTCAAGTAGGCCACAGACATGGACGACTGGGCATTGGGTCCCAGTGACATTCCTTTATCCAGGATGGAGGGGTGTTTAGCTCTAGGAGAGATGGAAGTGCATCATATTCTCTAACCTACCTGTGTCTGTGGTTCTTTGGGCTTCGGCCTGCTTGTTGTGTGCGACCAGCATTCAGTGTGGCAAATCCTCGACATAGGAAGTAACCTTTCCTGGAGGTGAAAACGGGCAAGTACCCGTAGCTCACGGGGACACTCAAGGGCAACGTAACTTTCCGCAGTGTGAGGGCAACGGTTTGTAGGCACTTATACAAACCAATCCCTGTCTCTGAGCACGGACGGTATGGTTATCTTGAGTGTGGGGGGTTCTTCCCGGAACCTCAATTGAGTCAAGGGTGTCGCCACCTCTGGTGGGTAGGTTCATCCGGGTGGGTCCCACTTCTATACCTGCCTCCTTTTGGGAAACCCTGATGGCCTGGCAGTGATGTTGGGTCTGACGGGCAAACGAAGTAGATCGGGTGCTGGGTCCGAGCCCGCCAGGGGTATCTGGGGATCTATCGCTCTGGTTATCTCTGGTTTCCCAGCAACTGGGTAAGGCCTCGATCGGGTAGTGGTGTAAATGGGAGGTTGGGGTTCCCCCCGTCAGCGTGCTGACGGTCCCCTTCCTTCTGGCTATTGATGGCGGGTTTGCCTGTCAGGGATTAGATAGGTCCCGAGTGTTGCTTGCACTAAATGCGTCGGGGCGCTCCATTATGGTCCTCTAGGTCCCGACCTAGTGGAACCCAGATGGAGTGACGCTTAAACAAGCAGCCGGAATCCCTGGTTAGGATTGAGGGGCAACCCTCTTTCCGAAGGGTCTGCTTCGGCAGCCGGCGAGCCTGATGACCTTAAGTCATCCGCCCATGATGTGCTAAAGGTTGATGCGTAAGCTTCGGCCTACATCATGGGGCCCGGGTAAGTCTCACGACAGGTACCGGGTACGTAGTCAGGGGGCTTCGGCTCTCATGACAAATAATGTAATGTAATGTAATGTAATGTAATGTAAAGGTAGCAACACATGCCAGGTTATGTTTTCAGTCTCAGTTGAGTTATCCTTGCATAAATAATATACCATAACACAGAGATTTGTAAAAGTACCACTTCTTCAGTAGGCTACAGCAGATACAGTCCTATACAAGAACAATTACTGTGTGACCTCTTTACAAGGTAAGCTAGATGAACCCAGTATCCGTTTAAAAACTTCCTGTAACAGCCTTTGAGTTAAAACATGACTTAATGTACTCAGTTACCTGAGGATATTTCTTCAGATTGTCCAGCAAACTCTCCACACACATCTGTAGGCAGCCCTTGGTGGACAGTGTACAAGCTGCTAACATCCTGTGTAAGCCTTCCCTTACGTCCATCGACACATCCTGTACAACATTGTGATACAGGTTTACCGTAAGAGTTGGATTGAAATTTTGATTCACCAAGTCTGTTTTAGAAATGGTGAAATGGAGAAATACACAGTACAAGCCCTTTAGAATTACATTTACCTACCCTGTCCAAAAACATAGTAACAATTTTCCTAAAAGTAACCAAAGTTTGGGGTTTTGTTTAAACACACTATTCAGATTCCAATACATGGCGCACACATGGTTTGTAATCACATATGGTTTGTAATAGCTCAAACAGCAGATGTAGTTGCTGAATATGGAATTCAATTTTACTCTTGAATTAAGTCAATCAAATTTCATATTGTAATCATTTCTTGAGATTTGGTGGATTTGAAAGTCAACAATTGGCTCTAGCATTATATCTGTCACTTAACAAATTCTGTTAACATAAACTAAAGGTATGAGGGATTTAATCTACCAATCTAGCCAGGGCCGCTCCTATAAATAGGCAAGAGGGTTTAAGTTTGTTGGGGTCGCAAGGAAGAAAAAAAATTCCCTTCAAAGTACTGTAGGTGGAGATGGGCGCAACCTTCCCTCGTGCCCAAAACGCATCACATGCAAACCGCGGGTCCTGAGTCTGCACAATATTGCCAAATACTTTCTCATTACGACATGAACCTCCCTACTTTAAGCTAACTTCACGGTTTTGTTACAACCAACCTCAAGAGCTCCAAGGATAGTCTCCAGCTGGTCTTCTCGCAACACTGTATGTCTGGATATCTTGGTGAGACTGTCTATAGCTTTGATCCTCACATCTTCTATCTCATCATTGAACATGTCCACAAGAAAGTCCAACGCCAGGTTGGCAAACTGAGGGTTGTTGAGCGACAAGGAGCAAATTGAATCCACCGAAGCACTTCGCACCTCTGGGAATGATTAAATACATAAGATGTTAGATGGAGACAATTTTATCTAAACAATTGTAAATTTTTCTACCTATACTGTGGTGCATGGTCAAAAATAGTTGGTCCAGAAGAGAAAGGGACTCAAATAAAATTAAACTTTATGATAAGAACATTTTGGTTTACAAGCTCTATCTAGATAATATGGTACCTACCAACTAAAGAGATGTTGATACAAACAAACTAAGCTCAAGTTTGTTAAGATTGGATTTTTTGTTGAAGGTTTTGTCATTACCATGACATATCCAAGCAAAAGGAGGAAATTTTTCCTGAAAGAGTTTTGTACAATTTTTTTAATTACTCTACTCAACCACTTGACTTAGGAATAAGTTACGTTTCTAAATGTTTTAGCCCAATCCAAGATCAAGATGGATGGTGAATTAGTAAAAACTGAAATAGTTTTTTGACGTATATATAAATGTAGACCTTGTGGTTAAGGAAAACCCCATAGATTGAGGTGGGCAGGACATATAGGGAGAGGAGGAGAGCTATTGATAATCAAGAGATTTTTTTTCCATATGGGAACCTGGTTTAAAGATCACTTGACATACTAATGAGGTTTAAAAGCCTAAGTTTAAATGTAAATCGATAACTTAGCACTACACTTAAAGCAGAAAATAGGATACAGAGTCGAGTGGTAGTGATGAAAACCTATTCTACTGCGGTTCCAATGGTCAGCAGTAAAGGTAATGTAGCTCTACCAAATCTTACCTAAGAACTCATCCTCCAGCCCGTGCACAAAAGCTCCGCAAGAACCGCTAGATATAAGGTTGATCTGTTGAGCGTCTAGTAGTTCCTGTGGAGCATCGTCTGCCCATCTCTTGCCACTTGACCACTCGCCAGACGTTACGCTCTCCCATGCTCGCTCATGAGCCGACCGCTTCTTCTGTTAGTAAAAACTTTGTTTCAGTAAAGCTTTGTAAGTGCTCATGATTAAGTTTTTTATATACAGAAGATATTCCATCTTTATGGACCTGATAGCCATTTTAATACCACCTAAATAATCAAAATCTGAACAATGCACCTGACAAAGCATCCCTTGGGTGCTTCTATTCTGATAAGTTGAGCAAACATTACCAGTCGATTGTAAAATACAAAATTAGAACATACAGACAGAAAAATCATGTGACTACAACCATGATTTTAATCTGCTTATTCCTTACCCTCATGTTTGAAAACAGTTTTTTGTCAAGAGTTTGATGCAGGAACTTAGGGCTAACGAGTGTAAGATTCCCCAGCAGTTGTGCAGCTTGAGTCCGTACTCTCATGGACAAGTCGTTGACGGCGTTGCAAATCTTGCCGAACGCATCGTCGACCAGTCGTAACTCCTCTTCAGTATCTGCCAGCATTGTCGGGCTATATGACACAAAGTTTGCATGTTATTGGAATTACTGGACATGTCTCTAATGTTTAGTTTTGTTAAAGACTAGGTCATCTTTGTTAAAGATTATATATCATTATAGTGTGCAATCAAGTAAGTTGTCATTGCTATATTGAAGCAAAAGAAGACAATTTTTCCTTAAAGAGTTCTGGATAACTACTAACTAGCTTTGTTATTGATTCAGTTAAGTTTCTGAAACAACAGCTCAGGGAAAAATAACTTGTAAAGTATACTACACTGGTGAAAATTCGAGGTCCTTTGAATTGTCTATCCCTCACTGAGATAGTGAATTTATTTAAATTTAACTGTTATGGTTGCTAAAGAATAAAAAATAAACCAGTGGTGAAATTGAATGGTTTTGTGAATGCTTACAAAAATCATTACTTGTATACATTAACAGTCATAATACACACCAATTTCTTATGTAGTAGACCTTGACTATTTTCAACTAAAAAACAGATGTCTCTATAAATAACAATCATCTCCCATGTTCTGATCATACCATGTGTAGTTACGTTTGGGTGCGCTAATGTAGGCAAAATATAACTTTCATCTTATATACTAAAAAAAACTTTTGCAAAACTTATGACAGCTAGCCTGACCATACTACTAGACCGAATTACACGCGGTTGGTACCAAATGAAAGATATTTACCTGTAGATGTGCAGAGTCCCTTTATAAATTAAAATAGGCTCACAAATAAGCACGAAAAATGAATTTGAAATTTAAAAAAATTAACGTGGGACTTATGGGTTGCTATGGTGATGACGAAATAACAACAAAATATAAACAGAAAATCAAAACAAATGGAAGACATTCCAATCACATGTTTTATTTACAGTGTGGGGTGAAAATAGAGAAGTTTGCACAAAACATACTTTTGGTAGATTTTTCGACCACAGGGAGTGCTCTTGTTTCAGCTAATTTAAATTCCTTCTGCAGGTGACAAGTTCTTTTTCAAAAGGATGTTATTTTAACTAAACAGCTGATTCAAAAGTCAAAACAAACTATTTGTTTTTGTTTTTACTTTTCTTTGTTTACTTAAGCAATTAATGCAGTGAAATTTATGTAAAGGATAGGTATAGACGGTTTATTTAACAATGTCAGAACTACGTCGACATACCAAATTTTTGGTTGGTAAACCAAATGTCAATTGGTGTGGAAGGTGTCTATAAAACCGTTCAATAAGCTGCATGGTGTCAGTGTAAACCATATTCGATTCATACCATATATCAGTACTACTGTATGGCTCAGAAACTTGGGCCCTGACCAAAGAACCGAAGACCCTTTTTGGCCATTTTGCTGGGGTTGAGAATAGAGTATAGAGAAAATATATGGGGAATTTCAAGATAGAACAGAGAGATAAGAGGATTGTCTAAACACCCAAATATATGTGTGCTTTCCAGGAGTAAAAGTTTCTGATGCGGATGGACAGGCTATGCGTGAAGGAGAGAAGATGCATCAACTTTACGAATGCATTCCAAGGATTACCACCAAGGAAGTAAGACGACCACTTGGAGGACCAAGCGATGAAAGACTTCTCCACTTCATACTGGGATCAACATTAGAAGAGGCAAGGGATAGATGAGAATGGGAGACCAAAATCCTCTTAAGGTTTCCATGGCCACTGAGGTAAAAATAAGGTACGGTAAGTGATAGTATGCAATGGAAGGTGATATGAAGCTACTGTACTTTAAACCAGTGTGTGTGAATCGACCGTCAATCCCACTTCAATGCTTTTCAAATCAACACAATCGCTGTTATACTGTAAAATTATCGGATTTAAAATGCATATTGCATCGGCCTATAATCGGATGAAAGAAATAGTTGGTCACGTGATATTTGTTTACAAGATAATTTCCTAATTAAAACTGCCAGAATTTTTCTTTATGCGTCTAAACTAGGTCTAGCTGTTCTGAATTATATTCAGTTTTCAACGACTACTTGATTCCCGTACGTAGGACAGGCCAACAGCTAGTTTACATTTTAAATAAAAAAATTTAGTATTTCATCTTTTAAAACTCACTGTTCCGGATATGTGATTGCCAGCAAGTATATCAACTGAAGAGCTGACCTTCTAACTATTTCATAATCATCCTTCAAAGCTTCGCAAGTTTCCTTATAGAGTGAAGCCGGCAGTTTCAATCCTCTATTGTGAAGAACTACCTGTGAAAAGAGTAAAATGTTTGGCTTGAATTAAGTTTATTACTGTGTAGCAGAGTACATCAAATGAACTGGAGCATTAGCGGGAGTAGGATTTCAATTACTTCTTTTATGGTAGTTTAACCGAAAAGGTGTCTAAAAAATTAAAAAGTTTCAATTAGATTTATTGATCCCCTTAAACATAAATTAACCATTCCATAGCTTTAATTAGTAACAAAATTGTTTAACTATGTTCCCAAGGCTGGGCAGAGTGGATCCACTGTGAGCCAGCCTCCCTTGTCCTTATGTCACTATAACCTCCATGTAGGGGTGGAAACGATGGATCGGAACAATCATGTTTTAAAAAAAAATATTCATATCAATATAATCGGCAGAAATCGATGTTTTTATTGCAATATCATGAAGCCATAGCTCAAGATTTGGTTAACTGACATTAATTGAACGTTGTATCGAGGTCTTCAATATGTCAACATACGAAGCATACGAAGCTTTTAGAGACACAAGAAAATCACCATGTTTTAAACTTGTAACCTGGTTGTATACTCTTTATAAATCGACAACAATAGGCTATAACCTTACCTAATAAATCAATTGATAAATAATTTTTATCTATGAGATTGCCACAAATATAAATTTACAACTGTTTACAACAGCTGATTTTTTACTCCTTAGAGACTAAAAATGATTTTTGCTCCCTAGAGAGTAAAAATTCTACTTTAGACTCGCAACGCATGCATTAAAAACGGCTGTTTGCTGCAGTAAGACGAAAAACTCAATTTAGAGGCCTAAATTAGTGTTATATATGCATTGGGACGTAATCTATGCATCGTGACGTAATCAATGCATCGGAAAACCGGGATCAATTTCAATGCATCGGAAAACCGGGACCAATTTCAATGCATCGAATCAAATTGAAATTTAGATGAAATTTCGATGCATCGCACACCACTACTATTGTAACTGTAAGTTACACCATATTGTAAACTTGCAAATTGATGAATAAGGATAATTTATGACTTTGACTACCGGTACCGAAAATGATTCAGTTAGACACAATGTTTGACAACAACTACAAACACTTTGGTAAAACGACAGAAAAAAGAAATTCTCACCATGGTATTGAAAGCTGTACTCCGCACCCTTGCGTCCTGACTGAGAGTGTAGTCCCCGATGAGACGCAACGTTGTCTCCGCCTGCTGTGTGATGGGTAACAACTCTCCGAGAACATCCAACGCCTTCTGTTTCACAAGGTGACTTGTGTCGCTCAGGTACTGTGATCATAACACCCCAACGTTTATAGGCCTAATTTGTTTGAAAATAATATAGCAAAACCCCTGAGATCCGGCTAACACGGGACCAAGCCCCTGTCCGGATCACAATTGGGTCAGATAAATCATCCTATTATAAAAACAATAATTTATATCTTATAAAGATGTGTAGTCAATAAATCCCCTCGTTCGTTAGATACAAATTCCAACAGTAATTAACATTTATGACATTTATGTATTTGACTCTGTATCCTAAAAATTCCCAACTTAATCTAGCAAAATCCTTCCAAAACATTTTAAATCAACTTACTGTATTTACAGGTTTATAACAGTATTCCCGTTATCCTACAATTAGCTTAACAGTACGCTCTTCGTACCAGGGGGACGGTTAAAAGAGTTTCTACTGTACAGTTAATCAGAAATCACTGACTGTTAGTGTTAAGCTGAAGTAGATTTAAAAATAAATATTTAAGATTATTAAATATTACAATAGGCCTATGAAAGTAATCACGAAATGCTTATAAAGCAAAGGGGTCTCTTACTGGACGCTCTAGTTAGTTTAGGCATAGACGAAAATAAATAAATATAGACTGTCAGCTGTGCTGCGGTAAGCGTATATTCCGGCGCCGACCGCTAGGGGTAATGTGTAGTTACGGCGCACACCGCTGCAGCATCAAGCGCTAGCGACCGTTTCCATAACAACTTGGTAGTTGGGAGTAGTGTGGCCAACTTTGGAGGAATTCCCTGGAATTGGAGTTTACTGACTTATTTAATATTCAGCAATAAATTAATTTAAATGTCATCATTTATTGTATGTTTTTAACATATATTTGTTATACTTTCGTAGTTTCATTACATGGATTCAAAGTTATCTATACTTATTTAATACGCAAGCAGGTTTTTTGTGACAATTACTCCTCCGAAACTACTGGACCGATTGATAGGTTTTTGGTGTCATTGGAAAGAGCGTAACGTGAAGTTGTGCAGGAAACCTTCTTTTTAGGGAAATAATTAGAGAGTGAGGCCCTGGGGCCCTTTAAAGTTTCATATATCTCCATAAGGATAACATGGGAGATCATTTCTATTTACAGAAACATACGTTTGTTACTTGAAAATAGTCAAAGTCTACTAAATAATAACTGCTGTGTATTATGGCTGTTAATGTATACTACATTTCATTCAAGGATTGTGTATCTTAAAGTTTACTCATAATGGATCTCACTACTTTATTTTAATGCTGGAAATAGAAAAATTTAGTTGAGACTATAGGTTACCATGATTTAGAAAACTTTACTATAATAATGTATGTAATTAAAATCACAAATCTTTGGAATTATTAATTCATAAGAAACGAAACAGCTGATCGAGAAATCAAACAAACCATCTACTTCATGTGAATAATGTTTTTACACAAACAAAGTTTTTTTTAACCAATAACTTGATTATTTTTTACTTGTGGGTGTATTTTAAGTTTGCAGTTATGAAAGCACCAAGCCAAGTAACTTTTATCTATTTACTACATGAACTTGACAAGTTAGGTAATTAATTGTCAGTATGCCAAAGGGAAGAAGAGTGGGTCCTCGAAAACAGACGAAAACAGACAAAGGCGGAGACAACCATCTAGAAAATCCAACTGAGTTTTTAAATAAAAATAGAGTTATTTTGATTTTGAAGATACCAATTTGCCCGTCTGGAACAAACTTACCTTTTAAAATGGAAAGATGCTAATTTCTGTTATCTGCTGTTGTTGCATTTGCAGCATAAGCACTTTAATAAAAGAGCAGCACTGTTCTTAGCCAGATCAATTTCAGTCATGGAACAACTATATATAGGTATGTTGTTTTAAGTAAGGCTACATCATTTAATAGGATGAGCATATTCATTACAGAAAATTCTGGCAAGGGTAATATTCCTGAAGGTAACTTTAAGACTAAAATTGTAGTATTCATGGATGTGATTTTGTGATAAAAATATTGTTTTTTAGTGTTTATTTTTAAAAGTGTTTTCTTCAAGCAGCATTTTATGTCCCTCAAAATATGGTACATAGGTCTATTGGTTTGATATGATATCATGTTTTGCTAAATGTGTTTTACTAAATATGATACGCATACAGCTAGAAAATGGCTGGACTGCTTCCCTTCTAAGGCCTTATTATTACTGTATTTGATTTTCGACGTCGAGTCAATATATAACACAATGAATTTGTTTTCTAAATTCATATATTTTTTTGCGGGGCATTGAGCCGCACAGGTTCACTAGTTCTTTATTAATCCATAATTCTAGGAAGTGGTTTATTGGAAGGTTTTGTTTTATATTTGCCAGGTCAAAATCTAATTAACCAGGGAGTCTAGTAGTCGAGGAAAACGGGAAAGTCAGGTATTAGTATTGAATTTCAAAATGGTCTTGAAAAGTTTGGATTTAGTCTTTATTTTGTTATCAAAGTCGGGAAATTTCATGATTTTACCTCGATCGCGCTAGACAATGATCGCGTTTCCGTGACGGCGCAAGACGATGATGATGTCTACACAACCGCGGGAGATGTTCTTAAACCGCAATCGTGCTAGACGACGTTTTCGTGACCGCGGGAAAAATGATCACGTCTTTTCTACGATCGCACAAGACAATAATGTCTACACGGCAGCTGAAGATGTTCACGATTTTGCCACAATCGTGGACGACGATGACGTTTCGGGACCACGGCATTCAATGATGATGTCTACACAGCCGCGGAGGATGTTCATGATTTTGACGCGATTGCAGAAGACGATAATAGCGATATAGTAAGCATTTCGTTTGCAAGAGTGGTAGTGCTGGTAACAGCTGGCGAGTAGTCGACGATGAAACCAAATAGAATACCGATAACCGATAACGAACGGCGATTTCTTTGACAGTCTATATTTACTCTATTGTCTATGGTTTAGGCCACACATTTTTATCAGCTGAGAGAAGTTTAAAAACACTGTTTAGATATGTACAGTTTCATTCAATTAGGATTTTTTTCAGAACAATACGTGATCTTTTGTTGTAGTAGGAAATCCTAATCCTTTTTATTCAAGTACGCTACTTCAAATTCAATTTTTCATTTCTAAGAGACATATCTAAAGTACCGGTATATCACCTGTTTGGCCAAGGCGATGAGTTTGTTATGCGCTATCGTGTTGTCAGGAGTGAGTTTAACCAGTCTTAACAGTGTTGCCAACCCCTGTGCTTTCACATGATGTGAAGTTTCCTTCTTCAGCAATCCCAAAGTTTCTTCTGTTATGCTCTGAAAACAATGTTTAGGTTTATTCGTGGGTATCACTACTCATGTTTCTTAACATCTATACAGTAACACTACACTATGATTGAAATTGAATTAAATGAAATGCTTTATTTCTGTGAACAGGATATATTTAGCCTATGGAAGATGTCAATGAACTAAGACCTAGAGTAAAGTTGTAACAACACATAATTTGTTTGTTCCTGACACTCCATGCATGGAAAAGAAAAACCAAACCACACTTGCAGAACTCTAAACTTTAACTGTAATAAATTAAAAAGCATACTTACTTACAGGTTGAAAGGAAGCTATAAGAACTTGTGGATTGAGTAAAGTGGATTAGCAAGCGGACTTCTTTGACTTAACAACTAAAAGGCTCAAGGCTCACACAAAACAGTAATGTCGGGTCAGGTGATCTAATTTTATTCTGAGATAGGGTCAGGGAAAATTACAGTAAATCCATAACAAACTACACACGTGACCTGTTCAAAGTAGCAGTGTCAACTTCACCTTAAAAAACTATGAATGGCATAATGAGGGACGAGACGATGGAAACTAGAAATTGATAATCACTTACGTAAATAATTAGTTAGTCATAATACTCAGCAATGCAATCGATAACAACAGGTAAATAAAAAAATAAAATACACGGGGCATTGTTTAAAACTTCTATCAATGTCCTTAGAGTAATATTCCTAATCCAACCCAACTTTTATTAAAAACTGAGTAAGCCTAAAAAATAATTGTACCTAGATAGGCAAGAAATGTTAAAATTCAAACAACTCACAATACGGTAACAAATGTAGTAGAGAAGTGTAGGCTATAAGGTATTGGGTATATAAGTAGGCTACTACCCTGAGAATTTAATTAATGTTGACATTAATTGTTGAATTAATTAAGATTATGTAAACAGAGCGTAGCATATGATGAAGAATTTATAATAAATTCTTTGTGATAGGCTTCCGCAGTCGATTTCTGAAAGTAATCTTGGTCTTCGGGTAACAACAACGTAGATGGCAGTTCATACAAGATGTGAAGGAGTGTTAGTAAGCCTACCTTGAAAATAGCCTAATCATTACATCCGAAACATCGGCAACATACATCACTGACGTCTCAATCATTATCCAAACACCAGATTTTTCTCTTCAAGGCACAATAAAGTTTTCATACCTGGACATCAGCTCCCGGTTCACTGCCAATGTCGGCGAAAACAGATAGAATTTTGATTCTCACAAAAGATTCGGTTTGTTGCTGATAGTATTCAACGAGTTTCTTCACTGCAACAGCAACATCTTCCTCCTAGAGTACAAAAGATATACTGTCAGGTATATATAGACCTAATCTGTATCTTTCCCTTTAACTACAGTAACCTCATCATGTTCGTAAATAAATTTAACACGCATAGTTTAAAGCGTGATGAAACTGAATTGGTATAATCCATTAAGGTTGGTCAAAAAACTAATTACCCCCACCACAGCAAACCTGCAATCTATCTGAATTTCCATTTGCCTGATTACATTTTTACTAAAATGTAAATGTGTTTTACTTAAGATTGTCAGACTTATTGCCTGATTTTATAATTAATTAGATTTAACAAGTGCTTAGGTTTGCTGCTGAAGGGAAGGAAAAGTGTTTTTTGGTCAAATATTAACAGTAGGTAGGCCTATAGTATGAAATAAATAAATTTGCCAAATGTTATCAAAATATACAAATAAACAAAGATTCAAAGATTTATTTACCGTTAAATATTTACAATATACAAGCAAACAAGAAAATTTTACTTTATCTCCATAAGGCCTACCGCACATGAGATACTTTTTCTTGGCTGACTGTCTGGCTGGGGTTGGGTGGACAATCGAAAAGTCGTCAAGACTGTTTGGTCGTTGACTGTGAGTGTGCACACACCAGGACTGTTTAGTCGTCTTTTGAGTGTTAAAAAGATGTATATGATAGAAACCGCTGTCATATGTGCGTTACTGATCAGATTTTGTACATGAAAACGTAAAAGAAAATACTGGGTGCATCCAATTTATAGTGGTAGTTTATTTAATGGGCACTCTATTGAGGAGGTTGAGTTGTCATCATTTTCAAACCTGGCTCTTTTAAATCAGTTTTTCCAAAATAATAGTTTAGTACTAAACTCTGCTAAAACAAATTTCATTGAATTCAAAACTTATCAAAATAATAAAAATATGCTGTCACCTACCATCATTCTAAATGAAACTGAATTAGAGAAGGTGTATGAATCTAAATTGTTAGGATTAACTATAGACAGCAACTTGTCTTGGAACAGCCATGTCAATAATCTAGTTTCTAAATTAAACTCTGGGGTATATGCACTAAGGAGGCTCTCAAAAATTTGTTCAACAGAGACTCTGAAAATAGTGTATTTCGCCTATATTCATTCAAATATCGCCTTTGGTCTTTCATTATATGGGGCAACTTCCATTCAAAATTTGAACAAAATACTAAAAATTCAGGAACAATCAATTCAGATTATATTAAGATTAAATTATAATGAATCGGTAAAACTCTTTTTTTCTAAAATTGGTATCATGACTGTATATGCAATGTACATTTATGAAACTATAATTTCTGTGAAAAACCGTCAGGACCAACTTCATTTTGTTGGAGATACTCATAATTATAATACAAGATTCAGGAATAGAATTGGCATTGACAAACATAAACTTGGATTTTATGAAAAAAAAGCCAATGTATATGGGGTCAAAATTTTATACCTAATATGTTACCAAAAGCCATTAAATCTGAGAAAAATATTAATAAATTCAAAAATCAACTAAAAAAATATCTTATTGATTTAACATTATATTCTTTCTCCGAATTCCCATGTAAAAATGATGTGTAAAGAAAGTTTTTAGTTCTGTTTTTCTTTTCATGCATATAACTATATCTTAGCCAGATTTACCTCTTATACTCGGATTTGAGGAAATATCCGCACAAATTTGTCATGTACTCACGAATGAGTGTTGATAGTTTTTGATATTATGTCTGAATGCTCCTACAAAGACTTTTTATAATGAGGTGGCGGTGCCTCCACTTCATTAATCAGTTTATCAACTATTTTGTCTCGCAAAACATTTGCACTTGACGCAGCCACAACACAGTTGACTGTCAATGTAGCGCACACACAACAAAATTATGTCAGACTGACAGACTTTTTAGTCGTCAGTGTAAGTGTTCAAACTAGTCTCTATGCCTTTTCAATATGACACGACAGTTGAGTTGGGGAGCAGTCGGCAGGAAAATCGGTCAGCGCCAAAATGCCCCGACTGTCTGGCTTCAGTCGCCTCTGTGCACGCTCATGTTTACCACTATTGGGCCGATTTTGACTCCCGACTATGACAAAATAGTCAGTTGACAAAAAGTCTCTTGTGTGCGGTAGGCCTAAGAATAACATGGAAATTTTAAATGTAAAGTTGTTTGGCATTTACATACAGTGGAACCTCGATAAGAAGACCCTCGATAACAAGTCACCCTTGAAAACAAGTGTTATTTTCATACCGCCTTTAATTTATTTTACTCTTAATCACATGTTATGCAAACCTCAATAAGGAGTCAACCTTAATAACAATTAATTTTCAATAGGAATATTGTGTTTTAGTCTACCTGAGGAAATCATAAGTTAGCGACAACAAAATTTTGAAATTTCCATTTTGAAGGCATACTTACTAAATAATTTATTTTCTTCGAATAATTACTAAGTAAACGTTTGCCATTTCTTAAACAATTTCAGAATCCGGTTTCATATGGCTTTCCACAATATTAATAGAATTTTTGTTCACATCAACATTCAGACTGGAGTTGGAGACTATGATGCTTTTATTATTAGATGGTGCAGTAGGTTACATATTTTTTACTAGTATGCCTACTTAACAGAAACACCAATTTATTTCTTTGAAGTGCTATTTATTTAAGTAATTTTAATCACTTAATAGCAGCTTTTATCAATAAGATTGATAAATAAATAGGGAAATAGTACGGTACGGCATTCTCACCTAAAAATCACTTCTCGCGTCTATATTTACACGAATCAATGTCTTATTCCAAAATTTTTTTTCAAATCTAAGTTCATATTCGTGAAAATGTTTCACACAAAAACGAGAATTGTTATTTAAGATGTCTAATTTGACCGAAGAATAGCAGGAAGCCATTGTTTCTGACGCTGCGGATCGCTTAGAATCTTAGAACACTGTATGTATTAGGTTCATTTTTAATTGAGCTTTCGTAATTATTCTTGCATCCAGGCACAACACATCTATCTGACATGCTGTAGTAACAAGCTCAATGTCATTACTAATGATTAAGGGTAGTAGAAACGCGACTCCTCCATTCACTGTAATGGTAAGACGACCGCGCATCAAGACACGGATGCGACGTTGCCACGTTTCGCTCGCCGCGGCCTTGTATTAGAGGTGGCTGTGCCTAAACACACTTTAAATGGTAATGAGATTAAACAGTTAAGGCTGTAAAAGTACACAAAAAAAAAACATTAAAAAAAACAAAAGAGATGATAGGATACATAAACAAAACTTTTGGTAACCTGGCGAGAGGTGTGACACACAGTGACAGTATCTCTGAGTTAACGCAAGCCCTTAACCCTTTGAGTGCCAGCGTCCGGGGAACCAGACGTTTTTAAAACGAGCCAAAAGTGCCGACGTCCGGCCGACCGGACGTTTTTAGAACGAGCCAAAAGTGCCAACGTCCGGCTGACCGGACGTTTCGTAATGATCGAACAGTTGTCATAACAACCGAATGGATACTCGGATTCATTTAACCCATATATTAACATTGAGTCGAAAGTTACTAGATGCGATACATCAATTTTCGTTGGTCGAAATATCGAAAATTTGATTTTTACGAAATTTTAACCTAAAAATCGCCAGATCGCGCTCGGCATTTTTAGCGCGACCTTCAGGAAAAATCATCGGCATTTTTTGAGCGTTACTTTTATTTCTCGCCTGGCACTCTAAGGGTTAAGATCCTGACTGGATGTAAGGGGTAGTAGGGGAGAAACTTGGAAAGGAAAATCAGGTTAACTAACAAAACCTAAAATAGTTCAAATTAAGCTATAAAACAAACTTTCAGAACAAAATGAGATATAAAATCAAGTGTGTGTATTGCAATGAGCTAAAGATGAGAGTAGGCTATTATTTTAATAATAAACTTACCGGTATATTGAGAATAGAACAAGTTTTTAGCCTTAAAGTTAGAAATTTCTAAGATAATTTATGTACTCACAGGCAGATGAGGTGTGTCGGATATCCTCAAAAGCAGTTGAAATGCTTCATTGCTTGTCCTCTGTTTTTCTAGTAGTCCAATGAAAACAGAAGCAGCAGAATTATCAACCCATTTCTTTTTCACTAGCCTCAGCTTTTTGAAAGGCTTTACAGGCTGTTCCTGAAATCAATCATAGCTTACATTTTATACTTAGCATAAATTACTTCAAATTTGGAGGTTGCTGATGCTAGGCCTATTCTAAGTTCAGATAGTTTCTGGACCCAGATGCTACCCTATCATTGGGCTATCAATTGACACGTTCGCTACCGAACGTCAACTATAACTTAGTTGACACCAGTCACTGCCCTAACCTGTGGGCGAGATTTTCCTTTTTGGACCAAACTTAGCCTATTAAATTAAACCATAGACAAATAGAATAAAAATATAACTTAGACTGTCAAAGGAAGGTTCGGCTATGTACTGCTAGTACGTGCTCATGGTTCGATACGCTGCTGTCGTTGGCTCCAGCAGCAGTCTGCGCCGTAACTACACGGCACTCATAGCGGTGGACGCCATGCTAGGACTATGCTAACCACAGCACTGCTATCGGTCTATATTACGGTACCGAATGTGTAGACTTGTATTCTAATTGTTATACAAAGAAAACCTTAGGTGTACTTACTTACCTAATAAATTAATAATTCTTTCGCCATTTTGTTCACAGCAAAATTGTTTAGGCTAGCCTAGGCTTACTAAAAAAGTGGTAATTGGATAACTTAAGGGAATCAGAGTGTAAAATAAAAAAAAATTACATTAAGTAGGCCTATAAAGATTAACTTACTAGGCCTAAGTTAAAAGATATATCGAATGATCTATATAACTTATTAATAATTTTTCATTCGAATAAGTGTAGGACAGATACTAAGTGCAGCCGTAATTTTTTGTCTCATTAGACTGATGTCAACTAGGCCTAAGTTTATGCCAAAATGCATAACTAATAATGGATTGTCTCAAATGTTGTGTGTGCCTACCGGTACTTAAGCTATCGATCTGGTTAATAGTTGTATGGTAGGAGGGCTTAATTAACCCCTAACTTAATGCTGTTGCGGGTACAGTTTCTTAACTGGGCTACGCTACTATTGATTGAAACTATCGAATTGAAAATATTGATTAATAAACAATATTTTAAAATATATCTATTATAAAATTAAACTATCATAACCTAACCTAACCAACCAAACTTGCTGATGGTGAAAAAATCGCATGACGGTTTACTAATCGAATCGATAGTTTCAATCAATATCATCAATCAATTATCATAGCCCAGTTAAGAAACTGTACCCGCTGTTGCTGTGGTTTCCACATGGGTAAGTTACCTAATTTTTTCCCGGGCTGCACTACAAATGGGCCTAGGCAAAATTTTAAATTAAGTCAGGAGTAGCCTAGGCCTAGCCTAACTGTATGCAACTTAACTTACTTGAATGACTTGACTGTATTCAGCTAAAGCTCGTTTCTTAAGAACAGCAGCCATAGCGTACGGTACTAATGATTTTCTTTCAGTTCACAAAACACAATAATTTTAATAAACACTATAAGTTAGCCTTCCCCAAACCCTAACAATATCAAGGTCTCATAACTTGTAGGCCTAGTGGTTTTTGGAACACAGATTATTGCAAGAAAGAATGCACTAAAATTAATTGAAGATTAACCAAAAATCAACCTTTAATCAATAAAAAATCAAATCATAATGTATAGATCAAACACTATTTAAAATAAAAATACGGATATAGTTTTCGAGAGAAAAATTTTTGTTTAGGTTAGGTTAGTTTGACACTTCTCAAACTGACAATCCGATCCGACTAATCCGAGTCGGTTCGGTTCAGTGTTTATTAGTCTATTTCGAATCGAATTGGAGTAAGTTAAGGTAAGTCGACGAGTCTGCGGTTGGAACCTTGGAACGGGGCGATGTCTACTTGTACCTGCGTCTAGTTGTACCTGCTGCATTTTGGTGACAGGCGTCTAGTTGTACCCCGTCCAAAGCTGTAGGGACAACTTGACGATGGTGCGGACGTCTAGTTGTACCTACGTCTAGTTGTCTCTACGTCTAGTTGTACCTCTTAAAAATCTACAGGTACAACTAGTCGGGAACGCCACCGTCTACTTGTACCTCATACGTCTGCGTCTACTTGTACCTACGACTACTTGTACCTACGACTACTTGTACCTACGACTAGTTGTACCTACGCCTACTTGTACCTACGTCTAGTTGTACCTGCGGCTAGTTGTATCTACCCTTCCACTTGTCACCAGTTTAAGGGATTTATTTGATTTCCTTAAAAGTCATACAATCTTATAACAATTTATTTTAAACAACTTGCTACAAAAGCCAGGAAAATTTGGCTTGTCTGCAGCTCATTGAGAAACATTACAGTGTATGTTAAATGGAGAAGTATGTGTAGTACATTGCATAGTTTTTGTCGAGTTTTCAACCGCTGGACCTCAACTTCATTGTACACTTCATTGTTCATTGTTCATTGGGAAATCCATTGTAAACTATAAGAAATGCACACAAATCAATGCAAATACTTTAAGGTTATGTGAACAAATATTTAAAGGGATCAGCAAAAATAGTAATACATAATTGCTGGGCAGCGGTCTATTGCAATTCATTTGGGATATACTGCTTGTATATTTAATGATATATATATAAATGTTTTAATTAAATAAGTGATTTTCGGTACTAGGCCTGGAAAATTTTAATCACAACTATAGCTGCCATTTCGACCCTGGACAGCAATGCGTAGCTTTCAGCCTCCAATTAACGTCTGTAAAACTACTAAAACATCGTATTGCGGTGAAAAATATTTGCCAATCATACTCAGTCGACTCGGAACACTGCAGTTCCTGATTTAATTAAGGGTATTATTAAAAAGTACGCGTGCAGTAATCAATTAAACAGGGTAACGAATTGAAGGATAGATACAACTACAACAGTTCAACTACAATAGATACAACAGACGTAGGGACTGAGTGAAAATTTAAAAACGTACGTTTTCAGCAAAAGCACTTTGCAAATTCTTTTCCCCTTTTTTCAAAACTTTTATTATTATTTTTATTTCATTAACATTTGAAGTTTCATAAAATGTCCATGGTAACGCAATATCTTTGGTAGTTTCTTTTTAAAAGAGCATCTTTAGTGGAAAAACACAAAATCCTGTCACGACCATAACGGACGTTTAAATGAATATTAAAAATAGTTAATATTATTTTTATAACTATGTTTTGCTATAAACTTATTTACTTTTATGACCATTATACAATAAATAGGTCACTGAGCTTTTGGTATATTTGGTCTTTCTAGAAAAAAATAAAAAAACTCAAAAAATTGAAAAAAGCCAATAAAATCTTTTTAAGTTTGTATAACTCCGAAAAAACTTACCTGAGACCCGAAAAATCGTTATGTTTGTATAGAGGTGTGCTTCTTTTGTGTATAAAACATTTAAATATGACGATATTTTCATTTTTGAAATTTTTATTATAGAAATCATAAACGTGATGGTCAGGGACAAGCGGTACGGTCGTGAATTGTCTGGAATAATCTAAATCGTTCTAAACAATCCTTAAATTATCATGTTAGTTATAATAAAAATATGTGTTTCAATTGAACTTAACTGTTCAATTTACAATTATATTAAAGTTATTGTCACGACCAAACACACTATAATCCATAAGGCTGGATTGGTCGTGAAAAAACCCGCGATGGTCGTGAAACTTTGGTCGTGAAATTACGTGTAATTTGGCTCTGTTCTGGCGGTAGCCCTGCACCTCATGTTCGAGGATACAAAGTGGACTTCTAGGTTAATCTAGCAATTGAAATATCGTATAAACAAAAATTAACACCATGTCTACTTCATCGAATGACTACGTACGGTCATGGACACACCAAAATTACAAAAAACACAATCTTTCCTTTATTAATCTTGTAATTCCTCCTTTCAACTCAAAACGACCGGCACTACAATCCTGACGTACACCCCGAACTAGTCTCTAAAACCAACTGACTCCATCGACGCCAGGCTTGCCACTGTCGTGCTCCAAAGTTGAAAATTTTTCCCAAATGGTCGTGACGCCAAATCGAGGGACAGACTTATTTTGTCATGGTAGTCAGTTTGTAATGACAATAAAATTATAATATGCTCCTTTTTTGTAAGTTTAATAACCATTGATGACATAAAAATATGGCTTTATATATTTCGGCATGAATAATTAGTCTAAAAACAGTGTGAAAGTTGGAAAATTCACCCTAGGGACACGTCATGGTCGTGAATTTCGAGACTTTAAAAATACGAAAAAAATACCTAGAACCTATTTAAAACCAAATAAATGTGTGTAACATGTTGCCCCCGTCCCAAAAAATATTAAAACACATAATAATAAACTACAAATCCAGTATCTACGAAGTAAAAGGCCAGGGACATGAAAACGTACGTTTTTAAATTTTCACTCGACTACTAGACGGAGGGACCACTAGTCGTAGGGACTACTAGTCGTAGGGACAACTGGTCGCATCCGTACAAGCTAGGTGATACTACTTGTCGGTGGGATACACGTCTAGTTGTACCTACGTCTACTTGTACCTACGTCTATACGCAGATTTTTAGGAGGTACAACTAGTCGGGTGAACCACCGTCTACTTGTACCTACGTCTAGTTGTACCTACGACTAGTTGTCCCTAGGCCTCGAGGTACAGGTAGACGTAGGTACAACTAGACGGAGGGACAACGAGACGCGGTCCCCCTTGGAACGGTTGGGCATTTGGGCTAAGTCTATGACGTAATCTTGTGGTCTTGGTTGTCGTTAGGGGCCGTCCACCCAATGGTGGAAGGAAAAAACATAGGTGTGCTATTCCCACGGCCACCTCTAACAAGAGGCCGCGGCCTGGTAGAATTGGCAACGTCGCAAGTGGTGTTGTTTAGTCGCAGACATCCCATTAGATAACATGGCAGACAGGTGAAATCAGCTCATTAATTCGCACTTTATTGATTTAAATTTAAATTTATGAACATAAAATTATTAAAATATTGAAAATAAACCATACAGAATTGAATTTAAAACCGAAACTATATGAATTAAAAATCTATACCTATATGTACATTTTAAGCGGAGTCAATATTGTCATAGTCCAGTAACCAATCTTTCGTAAATACACATAGCTGCTTCCAAACAAAACAGCTGTTACAACACCACTTGCGACGTTGCCACTTCGAAGGCCGCGGCCTGGAGTTAAAGGTGGCCGTGGGTATTCCCGTCATATGCTGACGTCACCCAGATAGCAAAAAAAAAATCACCTGATTATATTGCCATTTAAGTATATACATTTGGGTACTTTCCTGTTATCTGGTACCTGCGAAAAAATTCTTTAACCACAAGTACAACTTCGTCGATTCAGAGTCCGGAGCACATACTACCGTTTAGGTTAGGTTTGGTTAGGTTAGGTTAGGTTAGGTTCGTTTACTTACAATACTCATGTTATTGATAAACTAACCTAACCTAACCTAACCAAAGTACAACCAGGTACCAGATAACAGGAAAATTTTTTTTTTCGCAGGTACCAGATAACAGGAAAGTACCTATATTTGTTTTGATTTCATTGTTGTTTTAATAATTTTTTTATAAACGGTGAAATGGTGTTTGCAACCTGGATGACGTCACATTTGACGGGAATTAACAGCACACCCTGTGTTTATTAACACAAACTTTTTTAGATTAGCGAGTGCTTGGGTTTGCTGCTACGGGGAAGGTAAAAAGTGTTTTCCATAAACAAGTAAGCTACAATAGATTTCAGTTTCTACATAAGAATATCATGGGCATTTTTTGGGTTTGAAAACCAAGTGGCTATTAGACTTAAAAGGTACTTCATAACATGCCAAAAAGGTGTGTAGAGATTAGCTTTCCTAGTGTGAGCCGTTACAAAATTTACAGGGGAAGCCCACACTTGGAAAGCTGTAAGTAAAATTTAACTTCTGAGAATTTCAATTGGCTGCCATTTTTTTACTAGATTGAGATAGAGACCTCTAATTTGCGTTGTTGGTTTTCTTTTACCAGGACCTTCAAAATGAGGGGTCACTCGATGGGTATTTGTATTTGAATTTTTGAGTTTGCCACAAAATCATCACATTTTGGGGATGTATACCAAGTGGCAGTTATGCCCAAAAAGTACTTCATAACATGCCATAAAGGTGTGCCAAGTTTGGTTTTTCTAGTATGGGCCGTTAAAAAAAATAACAGGGGGTCTCCACACTTTTTACTAACCCTGTATATATATAATATACATTTGATCGGATGGTATTTTTGGCCTCTGGGGACCTCAAAACAAAAAAATAAATCGTTCCCGGGTCCATTTTCTTTTTTATAAACATCCGAAGCATTGTATGTGCTTTACCAAGTCTGTCAAACTTCAGACCCCCCCCCACCCCCTACCACATACAATACACCCTAACGACGTCCTTCCAGCCCTCATGCGCTGCTTCTCCATCCTCCACTCAGAGATCTGTTGGTATCACATTGATATGTAGAATAGTTCTGAAAGTGTTAGGCCCCAAATATAATTGGGCCGTTGAGTTTGTTAACTATCTTTCACGATGATTTTGTTAACTAGCCATATCAGTTATTTTTTAGAAATAAAAGGATTCACTTTACCGCATTGTTTTACTTACTTTACAACACTAGTGTGGTAAAGACACTGACCAATTGGGGGGTTGAAGGATTAAAAGAAAATAAGTTTGTAATGCT